AAGGATTAGTATTGTCTTCCTTGTTAATTTCATCCGTAATTGTTTATTTGTGCACTGTCAGAAATGGGTTTTCAAAGTCTGGCCTTCCTTTCTGTGACTGTCAGTAGCTGTGGGTACAGGAGACAGCTGTTCTGGACTGCACACCAAATCCAGCTATTCACATGCCTAAATTACTTGATTTGTGCTTCCAATTACTTATTCTAACAAAAGTCTAAAATGTATTTCATTTCAATGCTGTTGTACAGTGTAAGAAACTGTAGGTTTATACTTCACATTGTTTTTAGCTGGCCTAAACTAATGAGATGAAGGAGCAAGACCCTCATCCGATACCTTCAACAGAGCTACATCATCTTACCCTGCATTTGTTAATTTACTTGGTCTGTCATTACTTAGTATATATTGCATTTCCATTAATTAAGGATAGTTATTTACATTGAAAGGGTGATGGGGTGGAATTGCCTAGCTAGCAGAGCAAACCCCTGACGACTCAGGCATCTCTGCAATGTTTATCCAGGTCTGCAAAGAGACTCCTGAAGGACAAACATTCTGACTTTTGCTCCACTATGGAGTATTTTAAAAAGGCAAGTTTATATGTTATCATGCCAGGAGAAAGATATATGATTACCTAACATGAAAAACTGTTAGACACTTGCTAGAAAAAGCTTACAGTACTCCATGATGCAGTTCTACTTTACATGTAGCAATTTGCTTTTCAGTTCTACGTATATATCTGCAACTGAGAAGAACAAAGAAAAATAACTAAATCTAGCACGTTTTACTGTCAAATTATAACAAAAAACTGCAAAGTCAACTATTAAATCTCTTTTTCTCTACGAGAATTTGAGAAGAAACAGTGTTCCACTGGCTGTATCACCACCACTAAAGCTTACAATGGACTCCTTATAGAAGATGTTTTTTTTAATATGAAAGATGAAGCTCTGTACAGAATGAAACACGGTGACTGTGAAACGTTGAGATTTAAGCACAAGGCTTCATCAGCAGAACTAGCACTATTTATTTTATATGCAGTTAGGGAAGACAGACTTGTAACAACAAGTTATTTGTTATCAATATCCTGTACTCACCCAAAAAAAGTGTATTTCCCTGTATTTCCATCCATTTTATAGAGTCATGCATGTTTTACTGGCATATCTCATAACAGAGTAGTGCAGGAGAAGTTGTTGTTCTCTTTTGTTCTTTT